TAATTTTGGCTGAAGTTTATATAGTGCTGGTATAGAATATCACGTGTGAAATTTACATGAAATTCAATTTACTGAAACTTACGTAAAATTACATGAAATGTAAAATTGTAATTTTCGTAACACAACCCTACGTACACATACACGCGTACGTACAATTTTATTGAATCTATTATTATTATGCCGAAATTGCAAACTTAACCGAATCGGCCGAAATCGAAATATCATTCGGCTAATTTTTACCAGGTGTTTCAGGAATTATGATAATCCGGATATAAACAATTAAATCCGGATCCAGGTATTACATATACAAGATCCTCCCCATATCACAGACCCACCCCTCATTTTTACTAATTATTTTTTTTTTACTAATTAATTTTTTTGGTGGAATGTAAGAGACCCGGGTCTTGTATATGCACTTTTACGGTAACTCCACAATTTTGACAGGGGGTAGGATCGATTTACTGTCACGTGATACTCGGAAACAAACGCTGTTGAGCTTAGGTTAAGGTTAGAAAGAAAAATAACAGTAAAATTGCACGAGGAAAAGTTTTTATTAGGACTCCAAGGATGGTTTACTAGACAAAATTTTGAGATAAGCGCGATTTTTGCAATGCGAACGTTTTGAATTTCTTTACATTACACCTGATCCTGATCTTTGATTGGCTGATAAACGTCGGAAAACCATGTGACAGTAAAATCGATCCTACGTCCTGGCGTTGTTTTAACTCCACACATAAACCCGAAAGCAAAAGTGAACAATTTAATTATTTTGACTTTAATTTCTGAATATTATTAAAATTGAGATCAAATATATGTATATAATTTCTGGATAATTTCGAGCATATAATACGTATAATTTATGTTAGAAAACAACATTTCCATAAATATAAGATCGGTCATTTTAAGTAAATCTAAAATTGCTTTACAATACGTACTAATGCTATGATTTATAAACATTCTATATTCATTTGATATTAAGGACATATTCATTTAATTAAAAAATTCAAATTTTAATAAAAATTTCACCAGACAAACAATGCTTTTTCTCTAAGACATCTCACACCCAATTCCTCCCATTCATTAGAATTGATCCATAATTCATTTACAATTTCCAATTTACTCATTACAGATCCACCTTTCCATGCAAGTAATCTTGGATCTAAATCACGAGGCGAGCCAAGAATCTCAAATTTGTCAGTAAATGGTAGAGTACGTGAAAATATGCTTATTTTTATAGAAAAGGATTTAATTAAAATCTATGAAAAAACAACAGCGAAAGACAATGATAAAACATACCGATTCTCTAACATTTTATGAATCCCCGAAATGAGTCCTCCGCCACCAACAAGTAAAATGCTTCCATAAAATTTCTTGGCCCTTTCTTCCGTTGCTGCGGCATTAATACTTTGAATTATAGCATCATCCAGCGGAAGCGTAGACACTGGATCTACAGAAGAGGTATTATTAACACGTGATACTGATGGCGTTGCAGAGGTAGGTGAAGGTCCATTGGTTGGTGCTGTTGAGTTATCGAGTCTAAGAGGTGTCATTGGACCAGGACTATCACGCTGTTGTGGTGATGGTGAAGGAAAAGAGGTTTTGGCTTGTGTTGCTTGCGTTGCAACGGAAAGCTTAGGCTTTTGCATTACTAAACTTGGCGAAAGCTATTAAGAAATATGTAAATATCGTAATACGAAATTATTAATGCCATCATATAATATGAATCAATAGCGTACCCCCGTGGAAGTATTAACACCTTCTGTTATATCATCGATCACATGAGACGTGAATTTAGGGGGAAATTCGACAGATTTTTTATGAAAATTGATTATATGAGGATAAAAAAGGCTCTAGGAAATTAAATTAATTAACATACTGGATATGACAATAATTAAAATGTAAATCAAGATTGCATACCAT